AGGTACAGGTTTATAACCAGGGAGTGCCACTGGATCCAGGTCTCCTATTGGATAAACAGGTGGCAGTGGTGGCCAGGGGTGCCTTTCACCAGCTTTGACTGCTTAGCCAGCTGTGGCCCTTCCTGGGCCGAAAAGATCTTGCCACTGTGGTGCACGCCCTGATAACATCTAGATTAGATGACTGCAGTGTGCTGTACATGGGGGCTGCCCTTGAAGACTGTCTGGAAGCTGCAATTGCCACAGAATGGTGTGGCCAGAATGCTGACTAGAGTGCCTCACAGGGACCACATCACTCCAATTTTGTTCCATCTACACTGGCTCCCGGTATCAACCTTTAAAGTCCTATATGGCTTGGAGCCAGCATGACTTAAGGACTGCCTTCTCTCATATGAACCTACCCAATCAAGACTGATCAAGATAGACCAAGGGCCATATTCAGTATCCTTCATGTGCTTAAAAAAGCACAGAATTCTCCTGCTCGGTGCCTGGAGGTCTCTGGATTTAATAGCTGTCATCAGGGCCACATCCAGCCCTCACCTCAAATACGCAGTTCCAGGTAAAGAGCCGAGCCGAGAATTTGTACAGAGCTAGTTATAGAGCCTTAGAATTGGAATGGCCTTCGAAAACCCAACTACCTCTGCCCCCCTCCCAAGGACTGGACTATCAGCTAACTAGTATCCCCCTTCCAGTCCTGACTGCGTATTACTGAAAAACAGACGCACTGCCCAGAAGGCACGTGCAGAGCATATAGCTCCAGAAAACTCAAAGAAGTGAGCCAAGCCATCCGCACACCTTCATGAAAATGGAATAATGTAACTGCTTAGATGAAATCTTGCCTCACATACAACGACAGTGCTTAATGTGTAAATGGTCTTCGTCATCAAGGATATATGAAGGGTGGGCTCCAGGGGTCATTTTGTAGAAAAAGAGGTGCCGGAGCTCATTAGCATAACTCATTAGCATAAGTTATTTGCATGTGCCACACCCCCTGACATCACCGGAAGCGTGTCAGAAGGCAACACCCACCGCTCAGGCTCCACTGGACTGTTTTGGATTGCTAGCTATTGGGGGGGGGGAACGTGCAGATCTGTCCTCACAGAGGAGGGAGAGCTTGTACCTGAATAAAACTTGGTCTTAAAGGTGCCACTGGACTGTTTTGGACTGGGGGGCCGGGGGGGGGGGACTCTGCAACTTACCTGGCTGCTTCTTGCTCTGACGGAGGGCTGCTGGGAGCAGGGGGTGGGGCTTGTTGCATGTGCCCGCCCCCTGGGCTCTTTACTGCTGGAGCTCCGCTCCCGTGCACTCCTGCAGGAAATGACCCCTGGTGGGCTCTAAAAGTCAACATCTCTTGGGGCAAAAAAGGCATGTAATTTTTTTATTTTTAAAAAAAAGTTGTGACATATAGACTTGCAACTAGACATTTTGTTGCGGTGAGGAGCAGGCCATAAGGTTATAGGGGAGGAGGTGGTTAGGGTTACCTTGAAACAAGACATCTCAAAAGAAAAGCCCTCATAAATAATCTGTTTAAAGGTAGCTCGTGTGGGGTCGTTATTTCCTTTCTCTTAACAAGAGGCCTAAAAAGCTGACCAATCGCCTGGAATATCCTTGAGGAGCAGTGTTGCCAGCCTCAAGGTGGGGCTTGAAAATCTCCCAAAATTACAACTGCAGACAGGGGTCAATAGCCGTGGAGAATATTAAAACCATGTTTGTTTATCCACAGTTTAAAAATACCTCTCAAAGCACATGCAATATCAAAATATCTTATAGTTTTGTGCTATTTATTTTTGATATTGCATGTACTTTGAGAGGTATCCTTAAACAGTGGATGAATACATGAGGTTTTAATATTCTTTAGTAATTTTCATGGAAGTTGTACATTATATCTATATCTGTGATTCTCTGGCAGACTGTGAGAGATCTATTACCCTGCAGAAACTGGCTGCTTTGGAGGGTGGACTGTATGGTGCTATCTACCAAGGGTGTCCAACATACAGCCCCCGTGAGCCAGAACCGGCCTGCCCAGGGCTCTTATCCGGCCCATGTGCAACTGGCCGTTACATTTATTGCCAGAAGACAGAGGCTGTGCACTATATACTGTCCCAGTGCTAATGAGTAATCGTCAGTGGAAGTGGGAGGGTGAGCATCAGGGAGATACTTTAAGGCAGGGGTCATTTCCTGCAGGAGTGCACGGGAGCGGAGCTCCGGCAGTAAAGAGCCCAGGGGGCGGGCACATGCAACAAGCCCCACCCCCTGCTCCCAGCAGCCCTCAGTCAGAGCAAGAAGCAGCCAGGTAAGTTGCAGAGCTCCCCCCGGCCCCCCAGTCCAAAACAATCCAGTGGCACCTTTAAGACCAAGTTTTATTCAGGTACAAGCTCTCCCTCCTCTGCGAGGACAGATCTGCGCGTTCCCCTCCCCTCCAATAGCTAGCAATCCAAAACAGTCCAGTGGAGCCTGAGCGGTGGGTGTTGCCGTCTGACACACTTCCGGTGATGTCAGGGGTGTGTGGCGTATGCAACTGAGTTATGCTAATGAGTTATGCTAATAAGCTCCTGCACCTCTTTTTCTACGAAATGACCCCTGCTTTAAGGAAATTCCGTAGGAGTGTTAATGTCTAAAGCATGTTTGTATTTTGAGCAAATCATACCTGGCATCACATTTTATGGCATACATGGCCCGGCCTGACAAAGTGACATTTATGTCAGACCCGGCCTTCGTAACAAACAAGTTTGACACTCCTGCTGTATACCCTGCTGAAGCCCCTCCCCAAACCCCACCCTCCCCAGGCTCCGCCCCCCAACCACCAAGAATTCCACAGCCCAGAGTGGGCAGCCCTTCTGAGGAGGGAGGTCCCCAAAGTTATCTCTACAGCCCTGGTTACAAAGTTTATCTGGCATTAGAGGCATACATACCGGTGCCAATCCAGGGCACTCATACACGGTGTAATCCTCATTTTCTGACTCTGTGGAGAGCTGCTTTACTGCTTTCGGAGGATCTTTGCTGGACGGAGAGAAAGAGCAACAATGGTGTAAGTCAAAGGACCTCAGGAGATGGACTCCCAATGGAAAACCCTGGCGCCCTGGCAACTCCCCCACCCATTAAAGCCAGCAACCCCCAGTCTTCCTAAAATGCTCATTATGCTTCCCTTCGTTCCTACTGGATATATTGGGAGTTCCCGCGCACAGAGACTCTCATCTAAACAACCTTCTTGTTCCACCGTAAAACTGCTCCTGAACTGCAATACTTCGGGGGGGGGTGGGAGGATAAAACGGGAGTGCAGCAACCCACTACAGACTAACCGAATTCATTCCATTATAAGCTTTCATGAGTCAGAGCTCACTTCATCAGATGCGTCGAAGTGCTTATCCTTTGGATAGACAGATTTCTACTAAAAGCTGCAAACGGGCAGCTGGGAAGGGCGGGAGCAGTACAGAGAGGCCGATTTGGAACAAAACCCACTGAAGAGTGATAAATCCACTCAGAGAAGGGAAAGAACACTCTGAAGAGTTAATGTCGGGTGGAAGATCGCATCACCCCCGCTCCCCAAAAGCACAAGAGGGGGACGCTCGGCAAAACAACTGCAGCTAGAAATGCAAGAGGAACACATGAAGCTGCCTTATACTGAGTCAGACCCTGGGTCCATCAAAGTCAGTATTGTCTACTCAGACTGGCAGCGGCTCTCCAGGATCCCAGGCGGAGGTCTTTCACATCGCCTCCTGCCAGGTCCTTTAACTGGAGATGCTGGGGATTGAACCTGGGACCTTCTGCATGCCAAGCAGATGCTCTACCACTGAGCCACAGCAAACCCCCCCCCCCATCCTTCCAGCTGTCTGCTTTTCTTGTGTATGGAATTAATATGCCCTGACCTGGGTAGCCCAAGTTGGCCTGATTATGGCACATCTCAAAAAGTAAGCAGGGTCAGCCACGGCTAGTACTTGGATGGGAGACCACCAAGGAAGTCCAGGGTCACTATCCAGAGAGGCAGGCAATGGCAAACCACTTCATCTCTTGCCTTGAAAACCCTATGGTGTTGCCCTAAGTTAGCTATGAAGTTGATATACAAACAGAATTTCCCACTTAGTGAAGTCGGAGGTGGTAAAGCTCATAAACTGGTTTATGCCTGTGATGCACTGTGTCTAAATCAATGGTCCACCTAACCAAGTAGTGTCTCCTTAAAGAGGCGGCTGTTGCTCAGGATCCATGGCAAAGGTCTTTCCCAACCGTGTTATCTGACTTGACATCCCATGGATTGGATCCTGCCATCTGACAGCAGAAAGTGCTGATGACTGCAGATCTTTCCTGCATTGTTCTCCCCACAACACTCCTTTGAGAACACAGTGGCCAACCAGTTCCTTGGGATGGCCAACAACAGGGCACAGAGGCCGAAGAAGAAGAGAAGAAGAGATTGGATTTATACCCCGGCCCTTCACTTGGAGTCTCAGAGAGGCTTACAAACTCCTTTCCCTTTCCCCTCACCACAACAGACACCCTGTGAGTTGGGTGGGGCTGAGAGAACTCTGACAGAAACTGCTCTTTTTCAAGGACAGCTGTGCCAGAGCTTGTGACTGACCCAAGGTCACATCAGCAGGTGCAAGTGGAGGAGTGGGGAATCAAACCCGGTTCCCCCAGATTAGAGTCCGCACACTTAACCACTACACCAAACTGGCTCTTCCCCTGATCTTGGCTCTGGGATTCCGAGGTTTAGTGCCTTATCCATTGATAGATCTACCCTCCATGAACCTCTCTAATCCCTTTTTAAAGCTGATTATTCCTTCAGCCATCACTACACCCTCTGGCAACAAATTCCACATTTTAATCCCGCTCTGTGTAAAGTACTATTTCCTTTTGTCTGTCCTGAACCTACTGCCCATCAGCTTCTTTGGACGCCCTTGAGTCCCACCATTTTGGGAGAGGGAGAAAAAGTTCCGTTTGTCAGCTGTCTCCACCCCCTGGCACAATTTCATAAACCTCCCCTCACGTGCCCCCTTAGTCGTCTCTTTCCTAAACCGAGAAGTCCCAGGCTCTTCAGGCTTTCCTCCTAGGACTGAAAAATCCCAGGCCTTTTCTCACAGGGAAGGTGCTAATCAGCTTGGCTGCCCTCCTCTCTTCCGGCTCTGCAATCTTCGTTTTGAAATATGGCGGCCAGATCCAGAAATGTCTATTCCCAGGTGGTTTAGACTGAGAGGCTACACTAGGGACAGCAAAGGGAGCCAAACTGCCCCTTCTTCTTCTCAGGTAACTCTTCTGATAGACGAAAGGGGGGTGTCATTCCATCGCTGCTGTCAAGGCTGGCCCCAGGGTTTTTTGCACACTAGGCGAGGATACCTTCTGGCGCCCGCCCCCCCCGGTGCACCCCCAATTTTCAAACATAAATGCATTTTAAGAAGAATGAACAACACAAAATCTGAAAGGTTGTGAGGTTGGTGGGGCTGAGAGAGCTCTTTCGAGGACTGCCCTTGAGAGAACAGCTCTGAGAGAACTTGTGACTGAGCCACGGCCACGCCAGCAGCTGCATGTGGAGGAGGAGTGGGGGAATCCAACCCGGGTCACCCAGATTAGAGTCTGCGCTCCTAACCACTAATTCCTGGGGGTGGGGAGCCCAGTGGCTCCTGCTCCTCCAAGAGGAGGACGGCTGCGCTTCTGAGCGCACTGAAAGACCCGGCGGTGCACGGCAGTCACCCACCCGGTCAAGAAAGTTGCAGGGCTTTTGGTAGGGGAGCCAGGTGCCAGTTTGGTGCCCCTAAGGGCCGGCGCGCTCTAGGTGAGCGCCTAGTTCGCCTAGTGAGTGAGCCGGCCCTGGCTGCTGTGGCCTTCCAATCCATGTGAGTCTTTGCTGTCCCAAAAATTAACTTCCTCCATGGTCCGAAAGGACTGTTGGGAGGAGGAGAGCACAGGAAAGTTCTGCAGTCCTTGCGTCTGCAAACTGCAGGATTCAGCTCTTCCGCTAGGGATGCTCTGGACACTCCAGCATTGAGGTTTAAGGCTCTTCCCCATCTAGCGGCTGCTGGGCCACAGTCATACACCTCCCCTCCCACGGAGCGATCAGGAAAAGACCACTTACTCCTCACCGGTGAGAAGCTTCTTCTGATGCTGATAGTGGTGGACTTGGCAGGACTGAGCTAGTCTGGAGTCCATATACTGAGGAGAATCAGAGAGAAAAGTGTCAAGGGTGGGGGGGGAGGAACTCCATCACCTTCCCCATAACTGAGCAGCAAAAGCAATGGCAAAAACGCACTTACTGCACTGGGCTGATGGTACCGGTACTGGTTTCCCCGAGTGGCACTGTAGGCCATCTTCTGAGCCAAGCGTACTTCTTGCTGCAGCCTGGGGGAGAAAAAGTTATCATAAATTGTCAGGTCCCCACAGCAAACAACGTAGTACACACTTGCAAGAAGGTTTTACTTTATTGAAGCCATGAAGCACATGAACAGGGTCACTGTTCAGAATAACGAAAACCCAAAAGGCATGAAAGGTTAAAGCAAGTTCATAATCATAACAGCCAATAAACACGGTTCCCGCGCGCTGCCAAGAGGGCTCGCTCGCGCCTAAACCTTGGGAAAGCAACGGTTACCTAATTCTAAATAGATATGCTATTCCCACGGCTTCTGCTAATTAAAGTCAAAGCAAGCTCGTCTGCTTTTCCACCTGTGGCCTTGGCGAGATAGCGTTACATCAAAGCAGGACTGGCGTACTCTGAAAGGAATGTATGGCTACTGGTGAGATGTGCGCATGACCAGATAAACGCATCTACGCAGGGGGGGAAAGAACCAAAAGAAGAAATGAATGAACATATACATATAGAAAATAACCTTTGGCAGCTTGCTGACATAAATTTACACACAACCTCGAATTGCCATGTGGGTCTTGCACATGCCTGCAGTGGCATTGCAAGCTCTTGTTGAGCAGTGCCGCCACAGAGTTTTAATGTTTGTTTTTCAGATCAGAGGGGGTCACTGTGGTGGCTATGGGGTGAGAGAGAGGGAGAGGGAAGTGCCCACTGTGGAACGTCCAGTCCCCCACTCTGGCCTCTCCTATGGATTCTTTAGACACCCAGCCACCCACAGTCAGGTCAAAGAGGAAGATACAAGCTTTGATTACAGGGCTGGTAGCATTAGAACAAAGTTTGAGTCCAGTGGCACTTTTAAGACCAACAAAGTTTAATTCTTGGCATTGCTCCCTCTAAACTGTGCAGTCGTGTGAGCAAAAGTTCTGCTTTGTGAGCTACAGGCATTAAAGTTTTGAACGAGCAATTTGGCTACTGCATTAATTAGTTTTCTCTGAAGCCATCCTTCCTGAGCTAAGACAAAAATGTGTGAGCCGGAGGCTAAAGAACTGTGAGCTAGCTCACACTAACTCAGCTTAGAGGGAACACTGGTTCTGGGTATAAGCTTTTGTGTGCATGCACACTTCTCCAGATGTAAGCTTTGTGCTCCCTAAAGGTATCTTGTTTGGGAAGCGGCTAGACCAAGGCCGTAGTTGCTTATGAGGTAAGTAGGAATCGCTTGAAAGATAAGACACAGATGGAGATGAACAAATGTTTATTTCACAGAAATTAGAATACTGAATAGGGTAAATGTTTTGTGTGGGTTGCTTCTATAAATAAAGTGAAACTGGCTCTTCCCTTGCATAGTTTACAAGCTTTCCCCAAAGACGGTAACCACTTTGTAGGCGAGCCTCAGTGAATGTAAATAAACCCTGAGGGGAGATTTGATTCCCCTTCCTCCAGACAGGTTACCTCATCTGACTAATCTAATTCCACAACTGAGAGGATTCTTCCCAGGTTCCAGGTGGCTCTTTTAACACAGAGTTCCCCTCCATAGAACCTGTACACTTAAGTTACAAATCTAGGGCCCTTAACAGGTTGCGTATTTGAAAGAAGATTTCTTCCCTAAAGTAAAAGTAAAGGTTTCCCTTGCTCGAAAGCCAGTCGAATCCAACTCTAGGGATGCGGTGCTCATCTCTGTTTCCAAGCCGAAGAGCCAGCGCTGTCCGAAGACATTTCCATGGTCAAGTGGCCGGCATGACTAGATGCCGAGGTGCTTGGAACGCTGTTACCTTCCCACCGAAGCCGTACCTATTTATCTATCTGCAATTTCTTGCTTTCCAACTGCTAGGTTGGCAGGAGCTGGGACCAAAGACGGGAGCTCACTCCGTCACGCGGCACTCAGGTCTCGAACTGCTGAACTACCAACCTTCCGGTCTGCAGTTCAGCATCTTAACCACTGAGCCACCGCAGCCCCTTTTCTTCCCTAAAGCAACCCCAAGCCCTAACTAAAAGCCAAATAAAATCCTGGCTTAAGCTGACACTCTTAAAAAAGTTTTTCTTCCCACTTCTTAAACTGAGGCTGGCTCACCCCCTTCCATCCAGTGGTGTTCCAGAGGCTCTGGTTGGCTGACAATCACTGGGATTTGCATGAGGCCAAAATCACAAGGACCGGTTCAGAGCCCTGGAGAAGAGGCGGGACTTTGGGGGATGATTGCCACAGTCACACACACTCCTGGGGACAGATGATCTTCCTTTTGTGGCACTGATATTGCCAGACTTTTCCCAAGAACACGAGACTGGTACATTTGTCACAGCCTCGATAGCCCAAAGGAGCCCAGATTTGCTGGGTCACCCATGGTCAGTATGTGGATGAGAGACCACCAAGGAAGACAAGGATTGCTATGCACAGGAAGGCAATGGCAAGCCAACGCCGAACATCTTTTGCATTGAAAACCCCATGAGGTGTTGCCGTGAGTTGCCTGTGATTGGACGCTTTTTGATGATGTTGATGAATTGTCACCGTCTGATATTTGGCTGGTTGATGGTGTTCAGCAATTCGAGTTCTAGCCAAGTTCTTGGGAATTGCAGCGGTATCTTCACGGGATCCTTGCTGTCCCGAGCAACACTGTCTCCTGGAGCCGAGCTGGTCTTATTTACTCATTGCCCAGAATCTCCAGGTGTCTCTTGAGACTTCTAGGCACTGCTCCAAGGGCTCCAGTGACAACTGGCACAATGGTCACCCTTCTTCTCCCAGAGAAGTCTGCTCTAAGTCTGGAAGGAAGGTAATGGCAAATCACCTCTGCTTCTCATTTGCCTTGAAAGGCCCTTACTAGGGTCGCCATAAATTGGCTGCAATTTGACGGCACTTTACATATACAGGATAGGGATTAGAGTGGTATGGTATAGCCTGATCTCATCAGATCTCAGAAGCTAAGCAGGGTCGGTATTTGGATGGGGTTGATACAAGTCAGTTGTGACTTGGCACATAATATACACAGGGCAGCAATAGGTTCTATCCCGTTAAGCCTAGACTGCCTAGGATTGCAGCGCCTCCCTCCTAAACAATTCAACCAGATCTCTCACTCAGGTCTCCTAGAGGCTCAGATTACCCTCCCAATGTGCCTCCTGTCCACACACTTCTTTCTGTTTCTTGAGATGCTCCCTGAAAACACAACTGCTCCATGAAGCCTTCGGTTCTAACCTAGCATTCTCCTTTCTCATGGAAATGATACCCAAGTACTATTGAGATATATGTCTAGGCGATAAAGGTAGCAAGCAGTTACTAGATCAGTTTGATCTGTTTGACAGTCCTAGCTGTCATGCTAGTGATTAAGTGATTACAGCCAGGTGTTATACTAGCCGGTGTTCTCTATCAGGCATTGTTAGAGTAGGTAATTAATTCACCTTGTTAGTGATTGGCTGGGTTTAGTATATTAGCTTGATAAGCTAGGTGGGGACTTAGTCTCTCAAGCTAAGGCACGGTATGTTGTATGATAGCCTGTATATCTCTGTGTATATATTCACCATTATATCTATATAAACTTTCTATGCACCTTCATCACCAGTCGGTCTCCAGCTTCTTATTTACTACACCCAATAAGTACATGCAACTGAGGGCCAAAATACATGGGTATGTTTTCCCTGGATGCGTTCTTGGAGCAAACTGCTTCCCACGTGTGTGTGTGGGGGGGGGGGGGGGCTGATGTGAATCAGGACTGTGGTGAGCACACAGAAGGGGCTCCAGTCTTCTCTCTCATTCTTCCCTCCCCCAGCCTTGAATTAACTCTGGGGAGGCACTGTTTGCTTTGTTGGGGAAGCACTCATACACGTGCCTCCCACAACAGGGCATGTAACCAGGGATGTTTCAGGCTGGGGACAGGGTATCGTCCCCATTCAAATCGTGCCCTTGTGCCCTTGGGAACAGAGTTCCATGTTTGGAACTCTCAACATACAGCCATAAACAGACAGGACTCAAGGGCTTTGTAAGGGATAGTTACACTCGCCTGTATCATCCTCTGTTGAAATTTAGTCTGTAATCTCCTGAGAACTATCTTTTTGTTCATGTAATGGTGTTAAAAAAAAGAAGTCAGGTATGTTTTTGGTACTCTATAAGCCATGCCGGGGGTCAGCTTTCTGGAGGAGGTGTTGGCACGGGACTGAACCTGGCCCAGGCCTATAGTTAATAATCTATATGAAATTATTTCAATTTGAAATTATTTATATTTCCCAAAATGGCCTGCCATCACAACCTCTGATGTCAGTAATTGAAAAGTACACAAACGAAGAGTGATTTCAGCAAAGCTTACTTTATTCTATCCAAAACAAGATGACTTTGGCCGGCTCGCAGGCCGGCTTATATCCTCCGAGAAACTACCACCCAAAACACACCCCTACTTCCCTGTAGGTTATTTACAGTGACCGAGAGTCCCATAGGCTCTCGGCCGGGAACCTAGCCCCCTGATTGGAGCGGGCTAGGATCCGCATAGTCCATTGTCTCTTGGAGCGAAGCTCGACGTTTGTCTCTGGACTTGTCTGGACGGGATACATTACAGTAATGGTCCCTTGTCCTACCCATCTGTGAAGGCAAACCGTAATCCTCTTGATCCATTACTGACATCAGAGATTGTGTGGCAGGCTACAGGAAATAGATCTTTCAGTCCCATGATTCCACCAGTTTGTTAATCTTCCCCTCCCCTCCCCTCCTCTCTCTCTCTTGTTTCTTGACAGACAGTATTATCCACACTGAAGGCCCCCCTCCTCTTCTTATCTTTACAAAACAAACAAAACCAGCCTGTGCCTCCTCTGAACTTGCCAAGTTGCAACAAACCGGACTGGCTGAACTTGACAACCTGTGTAGCATCATGATGCTACTTGGTAGCTGGGAAGGGGGCATTGCCCTGGCTGGAAATCCCAGAGGAATCCCCACTGTTCCTCTGAAGTTTAGACCCCCCCCGCCGGGATCTGTTTCAGCCAAGGTTGCCAACCTCCAGGTGGTGGCTGGAGATCTCCTGGGAGACAGAGTTCATTTCACCTGGAGAAAACAGCGGCTTTGGAAGGTGGACTCTATGGCATTATACTCCATTGAAGTCCCTCCCCTCCCCAAACCTTGCCCTCCTCAGGCTCTACCCCAGCCCCAGTCTCCAGGTATTTCCTAACCCTAAGACTTTTAGTGTGAAGAGTGGTGCAAAAGTGTTCCCTTTAACACAGAAGAGGCTGACGCAGTTCCTACCTGTACCAGCAGATGGCAGCGACCACCAGCCCAGAGACCCCCGTGACTGTGCACATCACCACCAGAGCTGTAAAGGACCACAGTTAACTCTTTGAGTGCCAAACAGGAACAGGCAGGACTAGTCATCATTTCCCTAACGACACCTCTCCCCCTCCCCCCATGCCCCAGACCATGATTGCCAACTTCTTCCCGGAGTCCCTCATACTCACTGAGGGACACAGCTTTGTTCAGACTAGGAGACGGGGGCCGAGACCTTTGCTTAAAATCCACTTTCACACGCCTCGGGGGTGTGGTGGCTGAGACCGAGACCGGGGTGTCTTCGTATGACTCCGAGGAAGCTGGAGTGCTGCTCACGGCGTGGGAGGCAAGTGTAGGAAGAGAGGTTGGCAAAGTGGTGGGGGCACTTGGCGGTTCAAACAACACCCTGTCACCTGAAAAAGGGAAGGGTAGTGGTTAGATTTCCGTTTCCCTGAAACGTGGTCTGTTTTGTGGCCTACTGTGGTCTGGGGTACTCTGGAGCAACTAGGGTTGCCAGCCTCCAGGTGGGGCCTGGAGATCTCCCGCTTTTACAACTGACCTCCAGCTGACAGAGATAAGCTCCCCTGGAGAAAATGGCTGCTTCGGAGGGTGGACTCTATGGCACCGTACCATGCTGAGGCCCCTCCCCTCCCCTCCCCAAACCCCACCCTCTCCTGGGTCCACCCCCAAAGTCTCCAGGTATTTTCAAAACCAGACCTGGCAACCCTAGGAGCAACCATGGGCCCATCTTGTTAGTAGGGATGTGGGGTTTTTGGAGGGTGACTTTTCCGAATCATTCAGGGCCTGCTATAATGGATTTCAAAAAAGAACGTTCAAAAAAGAAATTGCCTGCACTTTCCTAATGTAAGCAGAACCAGGCACTAGAAGTGGTGGTTGTAATGTATTCAAAGCTGCCTTGAATGCAATGTGTGGAACATCTAATTGAAATGTAATGTTGAGCTTCATCCTGGGCTAGGATCCAAATACATCCAATCGAATTGCTAGCCCAGGAAGTAACAAGCCAATCACTTCAAGCAAGCTCCCTGAGTGGGAACGAATGTGATTGGACATTATCTCGGCAACCTCATAGGTTGATATGTGTACAGTGGGTGTGGCTATATTAGCCGGGAATGTTTAAAAGCAGGAGAGCTGCAATGTGAAAGCTGTTCTGGCTATCAGATGTTGATCCATGTTGGAGTTGTGTTCGAGTTGAAGAATAAAGTTGTGTTCTTGCTGAATCACTCTCTGACTGCTTTGTTAAGCAAGCGACTTAACAGTGGTGGAGGGGATGACTAGCATTCCTCAGCCCAGACCATTATGCCTTTCCTTGACCAAGGGGCAGATGCCCTGGTGGCATACAAAATCATGGTTCCCCGTTCCATTTTATCCTCACACTGACCACCCTGTGAGGTGGGCTGGGGCTGAGAAAGCATGACTGACTGGCCCAGGGCCACCCGGCATGCTTGACTGGCAGTGCAGGGATCTGAACCTGAGTCATCGAGAGCCCAGTCTGACTCTCTGACCCAGGGGTGGCAAACTCATTTGTTACGAGGGCCGGATCTGGCATAAATGTCACTTTGTCTGGCAGGGCCATGTCTCCCAGAAAAGATAATACCAGGTATGGGAGATATAAACTTTACAAGCCCAATTAACAAAATTATTTCTGACTCAAAACACAAAAATGTGCTTAAAATATTAACGTTCTCAGAGTATTTCCTTAGAGTATCTCCCTGATGCCCCGCCCTCCCACTTCCACCGCCCATTACTCATTAGCACCGGGACAGGGCTTTCATCTGGCAATAAAGGGAAGGGCCAGTTGCTCGCGGGCCAGATAAGAGCCCTGGAAGGGCCGGTTTTGGCCTACGGGCCATATGTTCAGCACCCCTGCTCTAGCCGTTACAGCACGCAGCTCTACTACAATATACAAAGAGGACATGTTGATTGCTCTGAATACCAGGAAGAGTGATGTCCACACTTGGGGGTCGCAAGCCCTTCTCATGCTTGGCGAGGAGGGAACGGATGAGACCCGGCAAGTCTTTGGGCCTCTTCTGGGTCTTTGTTTTACTTTCTGAAAGAAAAGTTATCAAAAGTTTACAATGACACCTTTTAAACATATTTATCCCTTTATTCAACTACGTTATTTCCAGCCCACCTTTCTCGCTTGGACTCAAGGCAGTTTGATGGATGGGAAATTCAATAAACAATGCAATAGTATTAGGGCTGTAGAATCAAGCAGAAGCCTAAAAACAGGGGTTGCCAGGCTCCAGGTAAGGCCTGGAAATCTCCCAGAATTACAACTAACTCCAGACTAGGGAGATAGTTCCCCTGGGGGAAGTGGCTGCTTTGGAGAGGAGACTCTACGGCATTATACTTTGCTGAGGCCCCTCCCCTCCTTAAACTGTTTTATTCCATTTTACGTTCACTCAGTTTTAAACAATAAACATGGAGGAGGAGGAGGAGGAGGAAGAGATTGGATTTATACCCTGCTCTTCACTCGGAGTCTCAGAGCGGCTTACAAACTCCTTTCCCTTCCCCTCCCCATAACAGACACCCTGTGAGGTAGGTGGGGCTGAGAGAGCTCTTTCCAGAACTGTCCTTGAGAGAACAGCTCTGACAGAACTTGTGACTGACCCAAGGTCATCCAGCAGCTGCAAGTGGAGGAGTGGGGGAATCAAACCCGGTTCTCCCAGGTTAGAGTCCGCGCACTTAACCACTACACCAAACTGTGTTGAATACAGTTGCCAACAGACCTGGAGGGAAATGTCCTGCTCATGGACAACTAAAACTTTTCATGGCATGGGGAGGTCAGTAGTGTCACCTGGTAGATAACATTCAATCCAACCTCTGTTTATTCATGTTATTTAGAGTCTGTCTTTCTCACCGGGACTCAAGGTGGATTGCACCATCAGTTAAAGGGACAAGATGTTTTTCTCGAGGCCTGCTGGCAATCCTGAATCCAAACACTTAATGTCACTTCAATAAGAAGTAGTCCCCGAATTTGGTACTTGAGAAAATTCAATACTACTCCCTTACATTCATTACTGTTATCTTCTACCACAGGGGGCACCACAGCACCCACCAATACCTGTCCTGGTGCCCACCAAGTGTTTTCAGAAAGTGGGTGGGACCAGGTGGGCTCCTGCCCAATGGGGCTTCTGATGGCCCATTTGAGATCTGACTGGCTGTAAAGATTAAAATCACGTTTCAGTGACAGCTGCCACTACAGTGTTAACTTTATTTCTCTCTCTCTCTGACTCTTCTTTCCCAGTGTATTTTTATCATTTACCCCTCTCATCCCCTGCACATGGGCTTCCCGGGTGGCCATTTTGTGCTTGCACCCATCACCCCGTGTCAGAATTCAAAATATAACCACAGGCTCAAAAAGGTTGGCTACCTCTGATCTACCAGTAGAAAAGAGCAAGAGCCCAACAGCACCTTAAAGACTAACAGAACATGTGGCAGGGTAGAAGCTTTCGTGAGTCACTGCTCACTTTTTCAGATAAAGGTGTCTGAAGAAGTGAGGAATGACTCCCGAAAGCTCCTACTCTGGCACGTATTTTGTTAGTCTTTAAGGTGCTGCTGGGCTCTTGCTCCTCTCTACTGCTGCAGACTAACATGAATGCCCATCTTGTCCTCATCTACCAGATTTAACAGAATGCCCCTTAGCACAAATATCCCCTGAACTCTTCGGCCTAGGAGCTCTTGCTCCCCCCCCCCAATACATTTTCGGAAATCGTATTTATTTTCACAGCGGGATCCACTTCCACCAATGTTTCGACCCTCAGAGGCCTTACCATGCTTAGGGGTTTTCTTCGGCACGCAGTTACCCTCAGCATCCTCCTCATAGTTATGGAAACAAGGGCCGCAGGTTGGGGCACCTTCGGGCCCACAGCCCAGTCGCCGGTGAAGGAGGCAGTTGAGCTTGTACCTGGCCGGGCAGAGGGGATCTGCAAAGGAAACAGCAAAAACTCCCTGCTGAGACCCCCCCCTTGCAACGGTTCTTGTTGTCCCCCCTCCAATCCATCCCTAAAGGAGCTTTCACCTACGCGAGCGCATCATTTAAAAACCACAACATTTTGGAGCGCGTGTGCTGCTTCCACACTTGTCGCACAGTCAGCTGTCTGCATCATCTTGGAGCATGCTCAGAATATACTGGCTCTAGCTAGAGGTCCCAGGAAGAAGACACTAAACAATTCCCATTCCAATTTAGAACAATCCATGAACACATGGTCAGCTTTGGGGGTCAGGCAGGCAAAGTCGTGAAGGCTAGTATCCGAGAGATGCTCGTCACAGAACACATGATGAAGCTGCCTTATGGTGATGGACTTATCGGCCCATCGGCCCATCCAGGTCTGTCTACTCTGACTGGCAGGGGCTGTCCAGGGTCTCAGCCAGTGATCCTTCACATCGCCTACTAACTGGTCTTTTAAACTGGAGATGCCCAGGATTGAAGCCGGGACCTTCTGCATACAATGCAGATGCTCATCCATTGAGCCACGGGCCCCTTCCCACAGCTCTGGCATGATAGAGGCTACTGAGTAACACTGCTCCTTTACAAGTTATTTTCTTTTTCCTGTCGGGAACAGCTGCAGGAAAGCGGAGTACAAATGCTCAGGTGCAAAACACTCACAATACAATTTAGAACAATTTTGAACGCTCGCTGAAAAGTGAGCACTTTTCCAAGAGGGCTGCCCACCATTTGCCAAGCGATCTCACATTACTCACTAGGACTGTTTTTTCTTTGTAAAGCGCTTTGGATGCTCTGAAGTGCTATATAAGTGTTGAATGTTATGCTTGGGCAGGGGGCTGCTTGCTCTCACACTGTCCGTGCAACACCCCCACATAGTACAAAGCTGCATCTAGATGCAACCTAGCCCCATATTAAAAACATGTATGTACAACGGCAAGGCTAGGTAAAGGTAAAGGTTTCCCTTGCTCGAAAGCCAGTTGAATCCGACTCTAGGGATGGGGTGCTCATCTTTGTTTCCAAGCCGAAGAGCCAGATCTGTCAGAAGATGTTTCCGTGGTAATGTGGCCGGCATGACTAAATGCCAAGGTGCACAGAACACTGTTATCTTTCCACCGAAGCGGTACCTATTTATCTACTTGCAATTTCTTGCTTTTGAATGGCTAGGTTGGCTACCCTTGTCTTTATCACTTTCGTTAGATTGCTACTGGCTGTGAATCAGAGGCTGATGGAGTATTGCTGTAAGTAAGTTGATTGACTTCACAGCTGACCTCTTGCAAAGCTCATCTTTAAGCAGTTTGCAAAGCAACACTTCACATCCACTTATTTAGAAAGCTTATCTAGTTTATTGTAACTCACCTGTAAAGGGAAACAAACTTCGGGTTAGAACAGATAAAAGGAAGTTCTTCTTCACCCAAAGAGTTATTAACACATGGAATTCACTGCCACAGGGGGTGGTGGCGGCTACAAGCATGGATGTCTTCAAAAGGGAATTAGATAAGCATATGGAGCAGAGGTCCATCAGTGGCTATTAGCCACAAGGTATAGATAGGGGCTCTGGGGCAAGTGATGCTCTGTCTTCTTGGTGCTTGGGGGGGGGGTCAACAGTGGGAGGGCTTCTAATGTTCTGGCCCCACTGGTGGACCTCCTAATGGCATTGGTATTTCTGGCCACTGTGTGACAGAATGTTGGACTGGATGGGCCTTTGGCCTGATCCAACATTGGCATCTCTTATGTGTTTATGTTCTTATGTTCTTTCAAGGAATTTTGACCCACAGTTCACCTCTTTTGCTAAGATTTTCTGGCTCCCCCCTCCCCCAACTTTTAACAGCAGCATAACATGCAGAAATTAAACAGGAGGAGCTTTGTTTCATTGAGAACATTTTTCATCCTGGCCTTCCTCTAAAGAATGTAGGGTGGCATACATCTTTCTCATCTCTTCCATTTTATCCTCACAACAACCCTGTGAGGATTGAACATGGGTCTCATCAGGGTCGCTTTCTGACTTTCTGGGGCCCTAGGCACTTTGGCCTTCATGGCCCCCTCCCACCATAATATCAATATTAAAAATTATTTTTGATATAACTTTAAATACTTCAACAGTTTTTCTTTCTGTTTTAGGCAAAACGTAATCGATTTTCATGGACCCTAAAATTCCATTGTATTCTGGTGTGAGAAAAAATATTAAAACATTTTCTTTGGCCCTAAAAGTTCATCCTCCCCCACCTTCTGATTTCATAAGCAATTAAAACATTTTTGTGGGCCCCTAAAAGTATCGTGGGCCCTGGACACTGTGCCTACTGCGCCTAAGTGATAAGTCAGCCCTGGGTCTTGTAGATCCAATTTATTTTCTGCATGGCAAGTTACCATTAAAGGTACAGGAGCAGGGTCAGAACAAAAGTTGGCAACCTTAGTTACCTCTACAACTGCCCCCTGCACAGAAACCAAAGACTCTTTCCTTATTCTCAACCTTCCTATTCCGTTTCTCTAACACCCAGTCTAGACTTCAAGTATCCCCCCAGCTGTTCAGGTTTAACCTGTCACCTGCTACTGGTTCTTAGATTAATTAGAATTTAGGACCTAATGCCTTGATAAAGCAAGAGCCAATCAACTTAGATCCAGCCAGTCTAATAGTCTTATCAGCCTCCTGACCAAAGACAGTTTATCTGACAGTAAATATGTTATTGATTACTTTTATTGGAAGCATACCCAGAGGTGGACTGAGCACTTCCCCAGTGGTAATGACATTTCTGAATAGGAGCCAGGGGCTGGACACAGGATTGCCACCTTCTGTTTATTACAGAATTCCGGCGCCCCTTCAACAGCTTTAGCTTGGGACTCTTGCTCTTTTGTAGCGCAAGCAAAGGGAGTCCATCGTTACCCCATGCCTGCAAGGGAAGTATTTGCCTGTTGAATTTCTGTCTGCCGCAAGGTTGTTAAAAGCGCAGGGATCCGGCCGGGGAGAAACGAGCGGCGTGGGCAGGCAACCCTGCTTCTTTCCGAAGGGTGGATTTAGGAAGTTGTGGCTTCCCTGGGCGTGGGAAGCGCCGCGTAGCAGCTTTTGCATCAACGGCAAGAAGCCAGATCCCTCTAAAATTCTCCGAAAAGAACCAGAGAGGTCTAGCGATTTCGATCCAGGGGAGACGGGGAAAGAAAAAAACTTTGTGAGGGGCAGGCAGGAGCCAAGAAGACTTCGTTTGAGCCAAGGTTCTGGGAACTGAGTCTCCAGAACAGATGGCAAGGTTGTCTCTGAGCAGGTACAGAGTGTTTCTCCAACCTCACCTTAATCCAGTCCGTACCGTATTTGGGATTCGGAGGAAGGGATCTCTGGTCAAAGGGGCTGGATTCGGAGCACCTTTGAGCTGCACCTAACCGGTGGTGGTGGGGGATCTGTTAAGTTAAGAGAAAAGGGGGCAGCCGGGAGGGAGGGGGCTGCTGGCAACTCGCTTGGCTTCCCTGGCACTGAAGCCGAATCTAGCCCGGGGCATAATATTTCCTCCTTCATCCTCTCCGTTTATTCCTTCATTGTTCCCTGATGTTTTTGCCGCCCCCCCCCCCCTATGAATTGAATATTCCCCTCCCAGGGTTTCTTCTTGCATTTTTCTCTCGCCCCGTTTTCTCCTTTCGTCGCCCCCTTTCATGCTCACAGCCCCCCCACACACTTGCACCGCCGATTCCGCATCTCCCTCTTCCCTCCCCCCGCCCCTCGACCAGATGCCCCCCTCACCTGCTTCCCAGTTGGCCCCCGTAGCTATCAGGACCGCGAAGAACCCCAGCCATCGTATCGCTCTGGCCAGCATCTCCTGTCAAAAAGGATGGACGGATCAGGTGTGTATGTGTGTGTGTGCGCGCGAGGGGGGTGAGTGGCGCCCCCTCCCAGCTCTAACGGGGGGGGGCTGTCCCCTTTGCAGCTGCTGGCACCCAGCCCAATGCGTGAGAAGACCTGGTGCTGGTGGGGATGGGGGAGGGACTGCGGATCTTTATGAATGAACCAAAGATGGGAGGGAGTACTGGGGGGGGGGGGGAGAGAGAGCGCAGGGATAGAGAAGGAGCTAGGGGGAAGGAGAGGGGGGAAAGTGCAGCCGGACCTTGAGTGCTTGACAGGGAGGAGAGAGATGGACGGATTGACTGGTAGATAACGGGAGAAATTGACAAGTTAATTGGAAAGGGAGATTGGGGCTTGGGTAGCTCGAAATAATGGATGTGACTAAATACATGGATCTGGCATGGCGGAGGGGAGGGAGATGTTTTGCACCCTGGTACAGTTTTTATACGCACGAATCTTGGTTTTAAAAAGATTGAACAAATGCTTTGCAGGTTCTTCAGTCCGAATTTTTGAAAAGCGGTCATGTTTTGTTTCTGAAAGTCAGGGTTCTTCCCTGATGATGATATTTTCTTTCTTTCTTTCTTTCTTTCTTTCTTTCTTTCTTTCTTTCTTTCTTTCTTTCTTTCTTTCTTTCTTTCTTTCTTTCTTTCTCCCCTAACTTCTGGAGTGTGGACAGGCATCGAACATACTCCCCCTTGCCTATGGGTGTAGTAAATGCAGCTTTGATCCAACAAATCACTTGTATTCTTACCATTTATTTATTTATGCTTCAGCAAAGGTGAGAGCAATCCTAAGCGGGTCAACTTAAAATCCTACTCATGTCTACTCAGTGCAAGCTTACTTCCAGGAAAGCATTACACTGCCTGTGTTTCTGCTCCATATAGCTACTGCTCCCCAGAGGTGGCTGCATCTGAATTCTGGGACAACAGAGGTCTGTACAATAATAAGCTGTTCCGGATATGCTGTTATTGACATACTGGAAAATGATTGCTTCTGATTCTAGGATGATCACATGAAGCTGCCAAGGTCAGTATTGACTGTACTGGACTAGCCGTGGCTCTCCAGTGTCTCAGGTAAAGGTCTTTCTAATCCATTTCTATGGAGGTGCTGGGGATTGGACTGGGGACCTTTTGCATGCAATTTTCTTAATTTATTGAAACCCCCCACCTTTCCCTTCTGACCAAGGCAGAGTACAATTTTAAATTTAAAATATATAAAGTAGAATAAAACATTATTTACCTGCCTTCCCAAGAAAGTGCCTGCAAGAGAAAACCCATTAAAGCCTCCCAAATGAATCAGCCCTACAGCACCTCCTAAAATGTCTAAAGATGGTGTCCCTCTCATGTCATCATATAGTCTGTTCCATGAGATGGGCGCCATTGCGGAAAAGGCACAGTCTCTAATACTGGGTTCCCCAATGTGTTGCTCATGGACTCAGTGGCAGTTGCCAATACTTCTGTGGAGCTTTTCAAAACATGGGACGGGGTGGTTGTAAGACGGGGCTTGTAATTGCCTGCCCTCATTCAAATGGAAGGGGTTTTCCAGAGCTTCAGTGACAGCTGCGGCCACTGGTGGATCAGGAGGACAGGTAAACATCCCCTTCTCTTTCTCCCTCCCTCTTACTTGGGGCTTCCTTTTTAAAAATATCCTTTCTGATACTCTTTTACAAAGTGAGGAGGATGGTATTGTGCTTGGCTCTGCCACCTGGAGCAGCCATTTTGGCCTTTGCTCCACCTCCTGTGGAAGCTATATTTTGTTCGGCTCTGCCTCATGCAGAAGCCATTTTGGGGTGGAAGTCAACTCCCCCTCTCAAAATTCTAAAGGTGCCCACAGGCTCAAAGTCTGGGGTCCCCTGCTCCAATAAATGAAGAAGAAGAGATTGGATTTATACCCCACCCTTCACTACCCAAAGGAGTCTCAGAGCGGCTTACAATCCCCTTCTCTTCTCCTTCCCACAACAGACCACCTGTGAGGTAGGTGGGGCTGAGAGAGCTCTTTTAAGAAGTGCCCTTGAGAGAACAGCTCTGAGAGAACTTATGACTGACCCAAGGTCACACCAGCAGCTGCATGTGGAGGAGTGGGGACTCAAACCCAGTTCTCCAGATTAGAGTCCGCGCTCCTAACCACTACACCAAACTGGCTCTCAGTGCCAAACAGGCTCCCTTAAGTGGGAAACAACTAGCAAGCGGCAGCCAGAAGAGATGGTCCTTTGGATATCGGGGGTCTTAGGATGTGAAGGGCTTCTTGAATTGAACTTGAAAACAAATTGCAGCCATTGTAGCTGTTTTAAAACAGGCAAAATGTTTCCTTGTCAGCTGGGCCCTGACAGTAGTTGGGCTGGTGCATTCTGAACCAGTTGCAGTTTCCAGGTTGTCTACAAGGGCAGCCCAATGTAGAGTGCCTTGCACAAGTCCAACAGCAAGCTCACAAAGGAATGGATTACCATTGCCAAGTAAGTTGACCGCAAGAAAGGAGAAAGTTGGCAAGCTAAATGCAGCTGACTGAAGGCCCTCTTGGCCACTACACCGGCCTGCTTTTCAAACAGCAAGGTTGGATCCATGAGCATGCCCAGAGGCTGTCTCACCGAACCATGATCCCTTCCCATCAAAATCCACTCACAACTTATTACCCAGGAAACACAAACACATCCTGTGTTCACACTTATCCCAAATGAGTCTTGATCACATTATCAGATGAGGCATATAGAATCAGTTGGAAGGTACCTCCAGGGTCATCTAGTCCAACCCCCTGCACAATGCAGGAAATTCACAAAGACCTCCCCCTCAACACCCATAGTGACTGCTGTTCCACGCCCAGAAGATGGCAAAAAACCCTCCAGGATCCCTGGCCAAACTGGCCTGGAGAAAAATTGCTTCCTGACCCCAAAGTGGCAATCAGCATTTTCCTGGGCGTGTAAGAAAGGGCCACAAGAACTAAGCACTGAGGCAACCCTTCCTGCCCTCTCTCTCATGATCTGCCTAAGTTCACAGAATAATTTTTCTAAGATTTCAAACCTCCTCCTCCAAAAAACTACACACAGTGTTGGTTTCCCCCCCTCTGTTCACTGTCGGATTGAACCATACCCAGTGTGTGCAGTAATACTTCATATGTCTTTTGCCTTCATGAAGGCACATCTGTGTACGGTGCAATTAAAGACATTTCCTAGCTGTGACCAATGTTCCCTCTAAGCTGTGGAGTCTTCTGAGCAAAAATTCTACTTTGTGAGCTACCGGGATTAAAGTTTTGAGCGAGCGATTTGGCTACTACATAAATTAGTTTGCTCTGGAGCCATCCTTCCTGAGCTAAGACAAAAATGTGTGAGCCGGGGGCTAAAAAACTGTGAGCTAGCTCACACTAACTCAGCTTAGAGGGAACACTGGCTGTGACCTTGTTTCCCTGGAAAAAGTGACCCTGACCTCATCTCTAAATCTAGGAAAGTCCTCTTAGAAACCCTAGTAGTCCTGTTTATTCTGCCAGGTAGCCTATGCTTTTAACAATATTGGACAGATAGAGCTCTAACAGGTGCTCCTCATTCCAGTACAGACTTCCAGCCACAATGGCAGCTTCACCTGTTGAATTTCTGATTGTCATGAGGCACAGGATCCCTGTCAGCAGGGGGGGAAATTGTGCCAACAACTTTAGCCCCCTCCCCAACTAATGAGGCCTAGGCCTAGCTCTCTGCCACGCCAGTTGTTGCTATAGCAACCGTCTCTCCTGGTTGCCCTACCGTAAATTCCTGTAGCTTGGACCCTACCGTTGCCATAGCAATGGAATGGGGGGGGGAAATCAGGCTACATCCGCCTGATGTCAGTGATGCAATTCTGATAGATTGATAGAGGCAACAAGCAGGGATATTAGAGGAGAAGGGCGATGACGGAGACTGCAGTATAATTTGGGCTTTCCAGATATTTAAGTAAAGCTAGCAGCCCAGGCAATATATCATAGTGGTGTTGAAATGCTGTTTGTTATGGTTTGTTATGGCTAACTGCTATAAAAATAACCAATATTTAGTTGTAGGAGGTAGCCAGAGAAGAGCGGATGAGGTAAACGTGATGATGGATTAATAAAAGGGAACAAAATAACCTCTTAACGGAGAAAACCGAGAGCGCAAAGAGAAAGCCAATCTCAGACAAAGCCAGGAGTCGGTAAAATAATGAACGTTTTCCTGACACGGAGGTGAAAAATTGACCTTTTAGTGATGCTTGCCACATCCTTTCTGTCTTTGTGCTGATTCAAGGGCAAGCTCTCAGGAGGGCAGCATGAATTCAGTGTCACACAACCCTGGCAGTCCAGGAGTTTTCCTGTGAAGTAGTGGTAGAATGCTAACCTACATGGGACATATTGCAGACCAATGTTCCCTCTAAGCTGTGGAGTCTTGTGAGCAAAAATTCTACTTTGTGAGCTACTGGCATTAAAGCTGTGAGCAAACAATTTGGCTGCTGCATAAATTAGTTTGCTCTGGAGTCCTCCTTCCTGAGCTAAGGCAAAAATGCGTGAGCTGGAGGCTAAAAAACTATGAGCTAGCTCACACTAACTCAGCTTAGAGGGAAAACTGAATTGGGAACTTATGTAAGAGTCCCGTCGCTGTCCTCACCCGAAGGCGCAGCAGAACATCTCTGCCTTGCATGCCCTGCGAAAAGATAACAACTCCCGCAGGGCACCGGACTTCTCTCGGGCCGAGGACTGCCAGGAGGTTCTTATTTCCTGAGCGTAGCACTCTTCCAGGGACATTGGATTTCCCCCTGTATTTTGTGACCTTAATAAAGCAGCTGGTGGGGGAAACGGAACTGAATTCATGACCCTGAGTACCTGTAATTCATCTGGGGTGAAGGAAGAAGACAGGCTCCCTGGTTTGGCTAGTCTTTTTCCTCTACCAAGACCACTTGCAATTAGAGTTGCCAACAGCCTGCATTAAAAAATGTCCTTTCTATTTAATAGAAGCTTGCGGTGATGGTATATGCAAGGTGATGTTATCTACTGTCCTGCCACAGCAAAGCTTCATTTGCATATATTAACGCTCTATTAAAGGGACTGGACTTTTTTCTTTATTCCAGGCAGTTGGCACATGGGGAAAAGTTAATCTCTCCTTGCTTAGTGCCATGGTTCTGATCCAATTAATGTTTACCCCCAACTGGCTACTTTTTTAAGGGTTTAGGCTTTCAGCAGCAGCCTTTTACTCAGAGAAAGTCCCGGCCACCTCAGGCAGGGTGTAGGTAGAAAGAGGGCCTTGTTGCCCCCTTGTATGAAGATACCTAAGATCAGGCAGCATGGGTGTTGTACATCAAGCAACTGAGTCCAATTTAGATTCCAAACAATGTTTATTGGAGAAAACAGATCCTTTGGAGGGTGGACTACACAGCATTATACCTCGCTGAAGTCCCTCCTCTCCCCAAACACTGCCCTTCCTAGGCTCTACTCACAAATCTCGAGGAATTTCCCAGCCCACAGGTTGACGGACTTAGCTCTGCCTCCCGACAAAGAGTTGCCGCAATTCCAGAGGAAGCATAAACCTCAGATATCTTCCTTTCTTGGCAAACTTTAGAGAAAATCAGATTTATAACAAGGGTCAAACCCTGTCTTTCTCCCCAACAGGGACCCAAAGTAGCTTACATTCTTTTCTCCTCCATTTTCTCCTCACAACGATCCTGTGAGCTAGGTTAGGTTGAGAATGTGTGCCTGGGCCAAGGTCAGCCAGCAAATGTCAGTGGCGAAGTGGGGATTTGAACATGGACCTTCTGTATCCTAGTCAGATACTCTGTTAAACTGCTGTAGCTCTGATAGATGAGGGAGTTTCTTAAATACCATTTATTTTGTAAAGGAGGGAATAGTTTCCACATTCCCTGTCTGTGCTCCCGTTCTCCCCAACACAGACCCAAAGCAGGCTCGTAGCCAGGATTTTTTTAAAGTGGGGGGCATTTAAATTTCTTAGGGGGCACTGGCTAATCAAATTAAAGGAATACCTGGCTCCTTCCCCGCATCTGCCACTGCTCAGGGGCCCTAGGCTGGATGGGAAGTAATGGGGCATTGCCAGTAAGTCAGGGGGGCCTAGCCCCGAGATGCCCCCACTGTAGCTACGGGCCTGACCCAAAGTGACTCCTGTCCTCTCTTTTATACTCACAGCAACATCCCTGTGAGGTGCATTAGGCTGAGAGGGTATGACTGGCCCAAGGTCACCCAGCAAGGTTCTGTGGCAGATTGGGGATTCATCTTGGGGTCTCTTAGATGTTTGGTGTAGTGGTTAAGTGTGCGGACTCTAATCTGGGAGAACCAGGTTTGATTCCCCACTCCTCCACTTAGATCCTAGGCAGTCACTACATTACCCAGGCTCTGATAGATAGGGAAGTTTTCCCCCTTCTCCCCCCCCCCCCCCCAGGAGATATTTTCCACACACACCCGTCCGAGTTACCTGCCCTTTCTAGCTTCTCAAGAATAAATCTTTGCATTCATTACAAATGCCAGAGAGATGTTTGGAACCTAGACTGTGCCAGGATGTTTCAGTTCCCTTTGATTTTGGGTTCTGCAAGTCATTCTGAAGCTGGTGGCCAATTTTGGGACTCCTGACTTCATTTTATGGTGAGTTTTGCCTGCCACTCGACCTTAGCTTCCATTGCAAATAGCATGGGGATGTGGGGTTTCTCAAGATAATGAAGGCCAGGATGTTCTGATTCCCTTCATATCTGGGACATCCTCTCTTGTGGGGAATCTGCACTGTTTCCCATGCTCTAATTCTGTCCAGTTCAACAAAGTCTATTGTGCTACACTTATGTCACATGTTGAATTTTTTTTTAACACTGGGCTTTTCCACATTCTCATTTTCCTTGCTTGTGTATTTCTGTTGCTTCAGGGTTTTTTTTCCTGTTCCGTATGAGTTTTACTTTAATATTACATCACTTTATGCCTGGCATAAAACTTGGAGACATAACACAATGTAATATCAAATTGACCCCTAGAGGGAGCAAAATATGTGCCAAACAGACATTCCCTCCAAAAAAGTAACAGAAACACACAAGTGAGACACCCTGTGAGTTTTACATTTTTTGGTTGTTATTTTCTATGCCATTCCTTCTTCTATTTCCACATCTGCACCCTGTATTCCATCTTTGCTTGATTTGAACTAGAGAGATTCTTCTTTCTCACAGCTTTCCTCTTTTCTTCTTCAGCTTCGACTCTTGATGCACTAGTGCCCCACTGTTTTTTTTAAGAAAAAAAAAGATTGAGGAACTCCTTCTCTTTGCTTGCTGTTGATTTTTTGAACTCACCCCTTCCTTTTGATGCATATGAAGGGGGGGGGGACCATTTGGGGCTGACCTGGAATGGAGAGGCAACTTTTCCCCTCCTGTCTGCCATTCCCTCACACCCAATCACATCCTGTATTGTAAATTTTTGTTTGTATTTACCGTAATGTGATTTTTAATTGGCTGCCATATATGTAAACTGCCTCAGTACACGTGATTGCAGAACCTGTCTGTCTCTCTGTAATTCTGAACCATCCTTTTATATAAAAAGAGCTATCAGCCCCATTACACAAATTTGCACATAATGTGTATTTTACTATTTATCTTCATGCCAAGAACAGTTTCATCTGTCACATTTCTATGGGTCAGTCTGCTGTTAAAGGAACAGGGACAGCCAATAAAAACAACCTGGTAACCATATATTAAATTATTTCTTGGGACATTTACACCCATCTTTCCAGACCAATTTACTTTTCCTCTTTTTCTAAAAGGCACCAGTCTGATTCATTTATGACAGAAGCCAAACAAGAAAATTTAGATCATTATAAGCTTTATTCTGTTTTGGAATTTTCTGTTAACATAACAAAAAACATCTCTTGATAAGAAGGGGACATGCGTGCGCATTGTCAATGTAGGAAGAGAAGATGCAATGGAGTCCATCGAACAAAGAAAAGGAGCGGGTGTCATTCTCGCTTGGGTGGCTCAAAGGGGTGATCGTACAGATCTGAAAGAGAAAAAAATATTTTTTAGGACTATGAGGAAATGTAAATAGGAAGAAGAGGAGGAGGAGGAGGAGATTGGATTTATACCCCACCCTTCACTACCCAAAGGAGTCTCAGAGCGGCTTACAATCCCTTCCTCTCCCCACAACAGACACCCTGGGAGGTAGGTGGGGCTGAGAGAGCTCTCTCGAGAACTGCCCTTGAGAGAACAGCTCTGAAAGAACTTATGACTGACTCAAGGTCACACCACCACCAGCATGTGGAGGAGTGGGGAATCAAACCCGGTCGCACTACATCAGACTGGCCAGAAAAGAAAATCCTTTCTTGGGTAGGAGCTGTGAAGGACTCCTGGTTTCTCTGAGGAAAACATGGCTGCCATGTGCTTGAGGAAGGGCTTACTAGTAGGCTTACCAAGTGCCTGCTAATGGTGGGCAAACTCCTGGTCATTGTTGCTGATGTCTGCCATCCTCATGTGGTCAGTGGGCAGAAGCAGGACAGCAAAAGGGGGGGGGAAGCAGCCATCTTTGTTGCTGCACAATAATGTCACTTCCAGCATGACCCAGAAGCATTGACATCACATGACACTCTAGCACTCATCCTTTTGGTTGCACCAGAAGTGATCTCATCACACGGCAACAAAGACCCCCTCCCCCACATCTCCCGCCCACTGCTACCCTGCCTGGCAACACTACAGACTAGCCTCTCTAGAAGAATAGTGTCGGGGCAGGCAAGTGAACCTTGCAGGCCTACTGTCAAGGCCTCAGTACCTTTTCTTCCGCACCTTCATAGATCGACCTTCAACTTCCTGTCCTTCTAATACTCCATGCCTACCACATTACATTCATACTCACTATCACAGAATCTTAACATAGACAGACTTAATTGATCTATGATTAAAGTAGGATTGCCAGGACTGGGTTGGGAAATACCTGGAGATTTTAGGGGTGGAGCCTGGGGACTGGGCAGGGGAGGGATTTCAGTGGGGCATAATGCCATAGAGTCCACCTTCCAAGCAGCTGTTTTCTCCAGGTGAACGGATCTCATTTGCCTGGAGATCAATGGTAGTAATGGGAGATCTCCAGCCACCCCCCGGAGGTTGGCGACCCTAGGTTAAACCTCTGCCCTATGTGACAATTATACTTCACAATGATAAGTTATGTCTGGGAAATCAATTTGTTCTACCCAGTCTTGGAAATCTTTAATCTGTAAGTATGGTTGTAAGCTCTGGGTCGGGGAATTCCTGGAGATATGGGGGTGGACAGGATTTGGGGAGGGGAACAGGGTATAATGCCATAGAGTTCACCCTTCAAAGCAGCCAGTTTCTCCAGAGGAATTGATCTGTTGCCAACCCCCAAGTAGGGACTGAAGATTGGAATTACAACCAATTTCCAGACTAAATTCTTTATTTATTTACAATATTTATTCTACTTCATCTGGAGAAAGTGGCTGCGTTGGAAGGTGGCCTACATGGCATTATACCATATCAAGGTCCTTCCTTTCCCTAAACGCTACTCTCCCAGGCTCCAACCTCAAATCTCCAGGTATTTCTGACCCTGGAGTTGGCAACCTTATCTCCAGGGCCCCAGAGGCTGGCAACCCTACCTGTAGGACATGTGTCCCAACTTTGTTGAGCCAGTAGTTACTCTGGGAATGTTGAGAACACTGGGAATATTGAGAACACTGAAAGGGTGTCACCACAAAATTGGTGCCATAGAAGGTGCAAACAACCACAAAACAAGCTTCGTGGGGTCTAGGACCAATAAAAAGGATGGGAAGTTCTAAGCCAGGCATCCTTCTATGATGAAGATCCCAAGATCCTGAAAAGTTTCTGACTGAGTAGACAGCACTGAGCTTGATGGACCAATGCTGCGATCAGATGGCAGGCTTGGCATGATCTCACCATGCCTCTAATCTCTCCAGAGCTATTTGTTCCAAGGAGGAAGTGACCAGACATGCCACTCTTCTTCTTCTTCTTCTTCTTCTTCTTTTTTTAAAAAAAACCCTCTACTTTGCTCATGCACAGAACCACTTATTCACCATGGGCAAATATGCAGTTATGCGCATATCGCTAACTGAGGGGGGGAATGGCGGCCAGGGAGTGGAAGCCACAGGCCTCCAAATGTCTTGAGCACTCAACGGGGTGATTAGACAGCCGGATTTGCGCGGTGGGACAATCTAAGCTGTAAATACTGGACTTTCTCCGGTGTCAAGGAAGCCTGGGGTGAGAACAGGGGGCCGATAAATGGAGAACGGAACGGAAGACAGATGTCGCTGTCCGAATGTGCACATTAAATCCGGTAGGAAGAAGGGACGACATCGGACCAAACAGCCCGTCCGATCCCAGCCCAAAGGTCTGATTCGGTATAAGGCAGCTTTGTGTGTATGATAGTTGTTTCTGAATGGGTGCTACCTGCAAACATAAAAGTGACGTCTCCTGGGCTCTTCTGAAGCACCTGCTGCTCTAGTGAGGTAGAAGAAAGCTAGGACTGGCTTTCTGCTTTGCGGAAGAAGCACCATGTTGGGGATCACTGCTGCCAGGTAAGCCAGTATTTCTATATCACAGCTGGGAAGACTTCCTGACACACACTTAAAACACCACAACAATTCTCCCGTAACATTTCCCATGTGTCTTCAGTCCTAGAGTCATGCTTCTTTGGAGGCTAAGGTTTTCAACTGAAACCCATTGATTTGAACTCATCTCGCTTCAGAGTTAGCGTGTTCGTAACACGAGGCCAGCTAAGGTTATATGCTGCCAATTGATATGTTTGTGGGGACGCTGAGGCAAAAAAAGGTGGTGGCGTGGAGTGAGAAGATATCAAGCAGACTTTCTGTTTGTTTCCACACTCAACTGGCATGAAGTAGACAGAGGGCCGAACTAGACGTAGCGGCATCCGGAGCTGCTGTTTTAAAGCAATTTTAAAAGGCTGCGACGGCTCAATCGTGATCAGGCCCACAGCACAGTAGACGGAGGCGCCCCTGTCCGTCCCCCCCCCCCACTAGGGTTGCCAGCCAGGTCTGGGTTGGAAAATACCTGGAGACTTTGGGGGTGGATCCAGGAGAGGGTGGGGTTTGGGGACGGGAGGGGCATGGCGCAATGCCATAGAGTCCATCCTTCAAAGCAGCCATTTTCTCCAGGGGAGCTGATCTCTCTCAGCTGGAGATCAGTTGTAATAGTGGGAGATCCCCAGGCCCCACCTGGAGGCTGGCAGCCCTACCCCCTGCCCTGCACCTTTTCAAGTACCAGAACAGGGGTGTGTGGTGTGTGTGTGTAGCAGTTTAGGCACTGGAAAAGGCTTGAGGAAAGATAAGAATATCTCCGCTTGCCATGCTATGTGCCTGGTCAGGATCTGGGCCTCGCAGCATTTTTAAGTCACTTTTAGCCCACAGTGTTATATTAGGTGGGGCTCAGGTTCAAGTTTTTCTTTCTCCTGTCCTTTCTCCAAGGACTCAGAGTGCCATACATGGACACACACCCCCTCCATTGTATCCTCACAACCACCCTGTGAAGTTGGTTAGGCTGAGAGAATGACTACCCCAGAGCCACCCGATTCGAATATGGGTCTCCACCAACCTGATCCATAACTACTACACTTCTCTGGCTCTCAGAGGAATGTCCTTCACACGTCACATACTGTTATGTATTGGGATTGAATCATCCCTGATTGATCAGCCATGAAGCTGAGAATATTCCTTTCAACCTCGACCTGGTATAAAGGGTTCCCATACTTCAGATGTCATAGGAAAGGATTTCCAGGGTGTTGCTTCCTGGCAAGTTTGAGCCTACTTTCCTGAAACTGAGCACTGAGTCAATAGGCAGACACTGTAAGTACAGAGGCACATCTGGTTATGTACTGCAATGCTTGTCTAGGACTACTGAAAGAGCCAGGAGTCTCTTTTGACAGGAATGTCAATGGGCATTCCTAGCTGGTTACTAAAAAAGTATAGGTTCCCCTTGCTTGAAAGCCAGTCAAATCCGATTCTAGTGGGTGGTGCTCATCTCCGTTTCCAAGTCGAAGAGCCAGCGCTGTCCAAAGACTTTTTCCATGGTCATGTGGCCGGCATGACTAAACGTCGAGGGGCACGGCATGCTGTTACCTTCCCACCGAAGCAGTACCTTTACTTGCAGTTTCTTGCTTTCAAACTGCTAGGTTGGCAGGAGCTGGGGCCAGAGACGGGAGCTCACTCCATCACACGGCACTAGGGTCTCGAACCACCAATCTACAGACATTCTGGTCTGCAGCTCAGCATCTTAACCTCTGAACTACTGATACTGGAATATCGAGCTATACATATGCTAAGGCCTCTTCCGACAGTTCAGTCCACTTACCCTTTGTCTTGTCAAAGATGCGCTTAACCATGTGCAATACAGACCGTAACGCATTGAACACGCAATCCATACTGCACATCTTGACAGTCTGTTGTGGGCTCGCTTTCACCTGTGTATAGAAACTGGGATTAAAATGTGTGGCAGTGGATTTAGGACATCGCCCTGCAGAGTCTGGACACCATCTCTTGGCCTGCACCAGGTTCTAAGGGCTCCGAGTTCAATGCTCTCCAATTATTCCCACCACCACCACACACAAACACAGCACACTGTGTGCCCTCCCTCACACACTAATGTCTTCTTCAAGGAGGGAGTAAGGTATGATTAAGCCGCATTCCCTTCTGCCCCTGTTGGCATCAGCGAGCCAAATGCTCTACCTCTTATACCATGAAATGGAAGATTAGCCAGAGGCTCCTGTGACTTTGTTGGGGACTTTGGGGCAATCAACCATTCTTGATGGGAGCAGATGATGAGTGAAGCATTTCTGGCTGGCAGAGATAAATGACACACGAAATAAATGACGTATGAGTCAAGCAATTTTAACTGGTAAAGTGTTATGGAAAAATCTTGCCATTGAATATAAAATATTAGATGAACCTGGTATTTTTCTATCCCCTCTTCCCCCCCCCCTTTTTTTTTTAAAAAAAATTCTCTGATTTCTTTAGTGATCAGCTGGTATGCTTATTTATTCATTTTTATTCATCCTTATTTTCATAAGCTTTATTTTATACCCACACAATTTAAGAATAACTCAATTGCTCCTCCGTGAACCCTTGGAGAGCCAGTGTGGTATGATGGTTAGAGTGTCATCCTAGGATTAAAAAAATAGGAGAGACCCGGTTCTGTATCTCCACTCTGTCATGGAAGCTTGCTGGGTGACCTTGGGCCTGTCACATGCTCTCAGTTTAACCTACTTCAAGGGGTTGTTGTGTGAGGATAATAACAGAAGAGAAAGAAGAGCTGGTTTTTATACCCCACTTTTCTCAACCTTTCAGAGTCATGAAGCAGTTTATAATCTCCTTTCCGTTCCTGTCCCCCCAACAGGCACCTGAAGCAGGTGGGGCTGAGAGAGTTCTGAGAGAGAACTGTGAGTGGCCCAAGGTCACCCAGCAGGCTTCACGTGGAGGAGAAGTGGGGAATCAAACCTGGTTCTGCAGATTAGACTCCTCTGCTCTTCAACACTACACCATGCTGGGAAGGGGAAAATGTTATAAGCTACTTTGGGTCCCCATTGGGGAGAAAGGGGAGGGGAATAAATACATTTTAAATCAGCCAGCTTTTTCACCGGATCACCACCACAACTACAGCCCAAATCCCACGTGACTTTTGTAGATGCAGGTCCAATTATTCTCATCATTAGAATTGCTAGGTCCCTTATCATTTTTGGTGGGGGGAGTTGGTCCCCACGCGTGTGCCACGATGACATCACCCAGAAGTGACATCCTCATGCTAAGCATGCTGCCAGTGGACACTCTAGCATTCAGCTTGAAAACTCTGATACCATAGAGTTTTCAAGCCAAATGCTAGAGCGTCCCCCCCAGCGACGTGCCCAGCATGATGATGTCACCTCCGGGTGACGTCATCACGCCAGGCACGTCGGCTGGATCCAGACACTTTGGGGGCGGGGTTCCCCCTGTTGGCCGGATCTGGGCCAGCGGCCCTTTGAGTGGGCAAACCCCCTTCCCCCCAGGGGACCTGGCAACCCTACTCATCATAGCCTTTTTTGATAGCCAAACAAGACCTCCCCCACTCTCCTTTTCACTAGCGTCTGGAGCCAGCCCAGTATCTTACAAGTGCTGATCCACAGCATCTGGCACCTATCGCCGTCTGTTGCAATGGCCTCCAGGGAGCATATACAGGCCAACGGTAACCCCACAGTAGCCCAGCGAGGACTGTGTGGAGGCATCATACATTTGAGCCAGTACTTCCACGAAGGGTTGGGACACGGCAGCTCGTCTGTGATTTGCAATCTCTGCTATTGAAGCTGCTGTCATGATGCAGATTGAGGCAACTCCATGTCTAGCTTCCAAGGGGAAATTTGTCGCTGCTATAGTCTAGGATCACAAGACCGCTGGCAGCCTTCCACAGTCCCAGCACTGGCGGGGGCGGGGGCGCTTCCAGCTGTATGAATCAGCTCTGTGCGTAATTCCGGAGGAGTAATGATGTTCGTCTGTGTTGCAGCAAAAATAAGCACAGAGTCTGGTGGCACCTCGAAAGATGTAGGGTCGAATCCAACCCGGCTTTTTTGCTTGGCTGAGGAGGACGGAGTGTTCCCCTTCGACTATCCGAAGAGGCTATGCTTGGGATCATGGGACCTACAAGTACAAAAGCCATGAAGGACGGGCCATACAGAAAGGAGGGGAATTGGGTGAGAATAGTTAAAAAAAGGTTATAGAATCATAGAATCACAGAGTTGGAAGGGACCCTACAGGCCATCGGGTCCAACCCCCTCAGCCCCGTAGCTAGGGAATTTTTCGGGAGGGAGCCTCAGGGGGCCTGCCAGCTAATTAAATGAAAGTACCATGCAGGTGGTAAGTTGGAGCACTTTAAGGGTAGCCCAAGAGGGAGGGGAGGCAGAAGAAACACTAGGGGGCCAGGCCCCATGGGCCCCATGCTAGCTACGGGCTCGAACCCCCTGCTCAATGCAGGATCAGCCTAGACTAGCATCCCTGACAAGTGTTTGTCCAGCCGTTGCTTAAAGACTGCCAGTGAGGGGGAGCTCACCACCTCCCTAGGCAGCTGATTTCATTGTTGCATGACTCTGACTGTAAGAAAGTTTTTTCCTAATATCCAGCCGGTACCTTCCCGCCCTTAATTTAACCCCATTATTGCGAGTCCTGTCCTTTGCTGCCAACAGGAACAGCTCCCTGCCCTCCTCTAAGTGGCAGCCCTTCAAAGACTTCAAGAGAGCCATCATGCCCCCCCCCCCAACCTCCTCTTCTTACAGGAAGGAAGGAAATTGGTTGAGAAGAATTTAAAAAGCTGGTTGGATCCAACTGTAAGTTTGTATTCTACTGAACAAAGTATGAGTCCAGTGGCACCTTTGAGACCAACAAAGTGTTTTTCCTGGCACAAGCTTTCATGTGCAGGCACATTTCCTTAGATACAGTGGGACAGAACCTGACCAACATGGCTCCCCCTCCTGAATTTGCATTCTACTGTGAGAGTTCGTCAGACACATGTCGGATGGGGGGGACTTTGTCCCTCAAAGCTTATGGTGGAATAAAAACTTGTTACTCTTTGAGATGCTACAAGGTTCTTTTGCCTGTTTCTGCCCCTCCCTGATTGGAGTCATATCCCTTGCATCACGAGGTTTCGTGATACTAATTAGTGCCTGTATCTGATATCCATTCCCTAGTGATCCTGCCAAGTATTCTGAAGCTAAGCAAACCATCCCTTCAAAGGCTCAATCCAATGCTAGCCTGGGGAGGGGCGATGCCAGTTTTAATAAGGGCTTGGCTCAGCCATATGACAGCACTCAGAATTCTGACGGCGGCAGCTAGAAGGGACTGCAATCGCACAGAGCACAGGAGCGCCCCCTGGCTGCCTAACTCCCTCCCTTGGTGATCTCCCCCTGCTCCTCCCAACTTCTAGGGAAAATAAGCCCCTCTACAGCACAATCCTAAATGGAGTAACATCCTTTTAAGTCCATTGTCTTCGAAAGGTGCGACTCTGGTTAGGACTGCACTGTAAGGGAGGAAGCACACCCAAACGCTTCTGTTCGGCGGCTGAGTCCCGTTTTATTCAGTGGGGCTGATGCCCAAGGGAAGAACTCTTAGGACTGCAGCCTCAGACAACAGAAGAAAACACGTACCATCGAGTCACAGCCCCATCCATAAGGTGTTCTAGGTGAGTAGCGAGCAGAGGTGGTTTGCCCTTTAATTCTTGGTTAGGAATGGGCATGAGCTGGGAAAATGGGGTTCGATTCGGTTCATGGTTTGTGATGTGCCCCATTCGCAAACCACAGATCATCACGAGTTTTTAGCTGCCTTACGAACCGGTTCAGGTTGTGAAGTTCATGGCCTGGTAGAATAGCCCCCTCCCACTGTGTTGAAGACACCAGATTCGCAGGGGATCTCCATCTGACTCCCCTCTACCTGCTCTCCAAGGTTGGTGTCTCCTGCTTGCATGGGATCTGTTCTGTACACTCCTGAACCTCCTGAACTTGCGCCTGTCAAGATGACTAAAGTTCAGGAGTGTATAGAAGAGATCTTGTGCAAGCTAGAGACATCAAAGTTGCAAACCTCTCCCGGATGCTCCTCTACATGCCCTCCAGGTTGTTGCTTTGAAGTTTTGTAAAGGTTTTGATTGAGCAGAGATAGTCTGTCTGGGAATGTATCCACTCATGAACAGTCAGAAACCCCCACAAACAATGTCAAAGTTCATGCAAAGCCAATGCCGGTGCCCCACCACAAACTTGCCTTTGCAAACCACAAATAGGGCAAAATTCATGGTGAATTTTGCTTTGTGGTTCGGTTCATGCCCATCCCTGTTCTTGGTGGACTCCCATCCAAGTATTGACCACGATCCTGCTTAGCAGCCCAAGCTCTGGCAAGCCCTGAGTTAAGCTGGGCTATTCAGGCTGCTCTAAGACAATAAGGCAGGGTGAAAAAGCTAGTTGGGGAGTGCATTTCAGCAGTTTTTTTAAAGAGTTGAGAAGCCCATCCTCTCCCCATTCACCCATCTTTCACCCCATACTGCATGTGGATTATAAAATCAAATCACAGCTGATTTATGGCAACTCCATAAGGTTTTCAAGACAAGACACTTCCAAAGTGATTTGCCATTGCATTCCTCTGGGTAACAACCCTGGACTTCCTTGGTGATCTTCCATCCAAGTGCTAACCAGGGCCAACTCTTCTTAACAGCCGAGATCTCACAAGATTGGGCTAACCTGGTGTGTGTGTGTGTGTAGAGGTAAAGGTTTCCCTTGCTCGAAATCGTAAATCATAAAAAGGCATTCATTTTGGCAGCTTAAGAGGGCCACAGCTTCAGTGCTCATGCGACTCGTGCTCCTGTTTTGTGCCCTAATATATATATATGTGTGTGTGTGTGTGTGTGTGTGTGTGTGTGTATAAATATGTGTGTGTGTGTGTATATATGTATATATATATATATGTATATGTATATGTATATGTATATATGTATATGTATATGTATATATATATGAATAGAGAAAAACACACACACGATTGAAGGGAGAAAATACATGACGGAGTATCACACATAACAGGAGCCTCAGCCTGCATAAGAAAAGCATCACAGAAAGATGCCAGTAGAGCTCACGACTCAAGCAAGTGAGCCAATCCGTCCTTTGCGAGGAAGGCAAAACCATCCCAAAAGTCAATAGTCAATTTGCTTTGGGAAGAATATCCTACTGCGCCCATTTCTCTTTCTCAGTAACATTTTATTTTCCTGCCTATCTATTCTTCCTCTTTCATTAGTTGACATCTGTCTTAAACCTCCACCCCAAAGCCAAATCCGCCTTTGACCTGCACCATCCTCTTAGTAACCAAAGAGTTCCAACTTACAAGACAGTGCTGTTTTCTCCTCTCCTGGATGCCTTCTCCTGACAATGTCCAAGTCCTGTGAGCATCTCGGGTAGTTTATGTACCCAGATCCCAGGTCCTTCCGGCCCTGATTGGGTAAGTGACCTCTAATGAGATTATGAGTGGCGTTAGTCATAGGCTCAACTTTCACAATCATCTTGAGGTTACTTTGTGTGGGTCAAGCTGCTGAGCTGTGTGGGTGGCTAAATGTTTCAGTGAGCAACACCGGCTACAGGTGCTTCATCGGTATGTCCTTCTGTCCCACTTGGCTCTGCGTAAACTTACCATTTATTTAAGAGTTGTTTAAATTACAAAAGAAGGAAATGTGATTTCATAATACTAGTGAAGACTTCCCTTTTCTGTATGTAGAAAAGCTAGAGTATCTTAGGGACCGACAAGATTTTCAGGATATAAGCTTTCAAAAGTAAAAGCTCCCTTCATTAGATCCAAGAACGGAGCTTTGAATCTCGAAAGCTTGCATTCTGAAAATCTTGAGCGTCTCTAAGGTGCTCCTGGGACTTGAATGTAAAACTGTTCTCCCGCAGACCAACATGGTTATCCTCTGAGAGTTTCCTGCACATGTCATTACTTTGTGATCTCTTCTACATGACTGGGAAAGATAAGACCACCTGGGTTTTGTTCAGCTCATTTTGAGCTGCAGGCTGGTCCCACAAGGCAAATGTATTGCTATAAGGATAGTCTTTGTCAACATGGAGATACCCTCAGAAGACATAAACAGTCCCTTTGTAGTGGTTTCTAGGCAGTTGCCTAAATAATGTTCACCCGATACCATAACTAAGCTTGGGGGTGATGGGCAGTGTTCCCTCTAAGCTGAGTCAGCGTGAGCTAGCTCAGTTTTTTAGCCTCCGGCTCACACGTTTTTGTCTTAGCTCAGGAAGGAGGGCTCCAGAGCAAACTAATTTATGCAGTAGCCAAATCGCTCGCTCACAACTTTAATTCCAGTAGCTCACAAAGTAGTATTTTTGCTCACAAAACTCCACAGCTTAGAGGGAACATTGGTGATGGGGTCATATGTCATGGGGCCAACTTGGGGCATCAACGATCATATAGCATATTAATGTTAACTGGTGTAAGGTCTTGATCTGTAGCTCAGTGAGGGCAGCAGGCCAGGTACTGTTTTGAATGGAATGTGCATTCCAATGTGTACCTCTCCAACCTCGCTCTCAGGCACATTAACATCTTGTTTATGAATGGCTTGAATATGGTTGCCTGGATCTGAGCAACTAGACATGTATAAGATTTTAGCTATCATTTGTATTTGATCTAGGGATGCCAGCCTCCAGGTGGGGCCTGGGGATCCCCTGGAATTACAGCTCATCTCCAGACTACAGAGATCTGTTCCTCTGGAGGAAATGGATGCTTTTGGGGGTGGACTGTATGGCACTGAGGTCCCTGTCCTCCCTGGGCTCCATCCCCAAATCTCCAGGAGTTTCTGGGCAACCCTAATTAGATCTAGCGGAGTGCCAGGATTAAGGGAGTGTTCTGGGAATCGGGATGTTCCCCGGGTCAAATTTCAGACTGACTATATAAATCCACAGAGCAGCCTTAGGCAAAGCACTTTCATACTCTCAAGACTGTCCGTATTTGCCAATCCCTGTCTTGTCTCATTCACTGCCCCTGCTGGGTTTCTATTTTTAACTTTGGGGGAACATTGTTAGTATTATCATCGTGGAACTGTTGCTAACACGTTGTTGTTCAGTCGCACATATTCAGGGATAAATTGCATGCTCCTTTAGCCAAAACAACAAACGAACGCCTTTGGCTTTTAAGGCAGTGATGGATAGGCTATTGCAAAGTAAACAATTAGAGTATACCGAAGGTGTGCATGTAATGTGCTAATATGTGGGGTGAGGGACTCAGACAGTGATCCTTGACATGAAAATTAGGGTGTTGCAACCATGTCCCTATTTATTGTATGACAAATGTCGGGGGATATGCATTGTTTGTCTCAGGCCATTTCCGCTCTGCCTCAGAAACTACAGTGGCTTTGGGGACGGGGTTGAACTTCTATTTATTTATCTATTTAAAACATTTGTTGGCTGCCTTTCTCCCTTCCAGTACTCAAGGTGGCTCACAATCTGAATAAAACATTATGAAAAACACAATAAAAACAACAATTATAACTTATAAACATTAAAAAGAACACCAGTTAGGACTGCCAATAATAAAAGCTACATCAATAAAAATCAGAGGTCGATTCGGGGGGGATGGCGGGGGATTGCAGCTCCCCCGGGTGAGGTGCAGGGGGCGGGGCACACAACAAAGCCCCACCCCTTCTTCTGGCCGCCCCCTGCTTCCAGCCTCATTCTGTTGCAGAAGGAGGAAGAAGCAGGAGGGTAAGTTGGTGTCCTCCCCCTCTGCCTGGCCGAGGCCACTCCACGTGGCCTCTGCAAGGACTCCCAGCTTCATCCAGGAGCTTCCCCGAGGTAGCTGTGTTAGTCTGTTGCTGCAAAATAGTCCAAGAGTTCAAATAGCACCTTTAAGACTAACAAATAGCACCTTTAAGACGAACCTTTAAGACTAAGACTAACTGAGTGGTGGATGTGGCCTTATGACACACTTCCGGTGATGGCAGGGGGTGTGGCATATGCTAATGAGTTATGCTAATGCGTTCCCCTAGCTCTTTTTCTACGAAACGACCCCTGATCAAAATGCAATCCTAAATAAAGCTGTCTTCAACTGCCCCCTAAAGATTGAAAGTGAGGGGGCCGGGCGCACCTCCCTGGGGAAGCTGTTCCATAAATTTGGGCTGCCACAATAAAGGAACTTTCTCATGTGCCCACCAAATGAGCATCTTTATTGATGGGAGAGTCAGGCGGGCATCTCTCTGTGAACTTATTTCCTAGGCAGGAACATATGTTCTTATGCAGAGGTCCATCAGTGGCTATTAGCCACAAGGTATAGCTAGGGGCTCTGGGGCAAGTGATGCTCTGTCTTCTTGGTGCTTGGGGGGGGGTCAACAGTGGGAGGGCTTCTAATGTCCTGGCCCCACTGCTGGACCTCCTGATGGCACTGGTATTTCTGGCCACTGTGTGACACAGAGTGTTGGACTGGATGGGCCTTTGGCCTGATCCAACATTGGCGTCTCTTATGTTCTTATGTTCTTATATGGGAGAAGACAGGCCTTTGGACAACCTGGTCCCAAGACACGTAGGACTTTAAAATACAAAAAAAAACCCAACTTGAGCTGAGCTCAGGAGCAGATCGGTAACCAGTGTAATTGCAGTAGTGTTCTGTTTATATGGGCTGCCTTTTAGTTTTCTTTGTAGTACCTTTTTAATTGATATCTGTTAATATTTTAGCTGTTAGCTGCCTGGAGACTGCTTGGTCCACTGCTTTTTAACTTGTTCATTAATGATTTGGAGTTGGGAGTAAGCAGTGAAGTGGCTAAATTTGCGGATGATACGAAGTTGTTCAGGGTGGTGAAAACCAGTGAGGATTGTGAGGCACTCCAAAGGGATCTGTCAAAGTTGGGCGAGTGGGCGTCAACATGGCAAATGGGGTTCAATGTGGCCAAGTGCAAGGTGATGCACATTGGAGCCAAAAATCCTAACTATAAATACACGTTGATGGGGTCTGAACTGGCAGAGACTGATCAAGAGAGAGATCTTGGAGTTGTAGTAGATAACTCACTGAAAATGTCGAGACAGTGTGTGACTGCAATAAAGAAGGCCAATGCTATGCTGGGGATTATTAGGAAGGGTATTGTAAACAGATCAGCCAATATCATAATGCCGCTATATAAGTCAATGGTGCGACCTCATCTGGAATACTGTGTGCAATTCTGGTCACCACACCTTAAAAAGGATATTATAGCTTTGGAAAAAGTGCAGAAAAGAGCAACTCGAATGATAAAAGGGTTGGAACACTTTCCCTATGAGGAAAGGTTAAGGCGCTTAGGGCTCTTTAGCTTGGAGAAACGATGACTGAGGGGTGACATGATTGAGGTTTATAAGATTATGCATGGGAAAGAGCAGGTAGAGAAAGAGGTACTTTTCTCCCTTTCTCACAATACAAGAACCCGTGGGCACTCCATGAAATTGCTGAGCGGTCGGGTTAGAACGGATAAAAGGAAGTACTTCTTCACCCAAAGAGTGATTAACACATGGAACTCACTGCCACAGGAAGTGGTGGCAGCTACAAGCATGGACGGCTTCAAAAGGGAATTAGATAAGCATATGGAGCAGAGGTCCATCAGTGGCTATTAGCCACAAGGTATAGATAGGGGCTCTGGGGCAAGTGATGCTCTGTCATCTTGGTGTTTGGGGGGGGGGCGTCAACAGTGGGAGGGCTTCTAATGTCCTGGCCCCACTGGTGGACCTCCTGATGGCACTGGTATTTCTGGCCACTGTGGGATACAGAGTGTTGGACTGGATGGGCCTTTGGCCTGATCCAACATTGGCATCTCTTATGTTCTTATGTTCTTATGGTGGCGAGAGGCAGCATATCTATTTTTAATAATAATGATAGTGATGATAATGATGATGATGATTTATTCATTTATTATCAGATGTATACCCCGCCCTCGCAGCCGAGGCTGGCTCATGATAGTGATAATGATGATGATAATAGCAGTAATAACAGCAATAATTTAAAAAATCTAGATGACATCATCACCATGCAGCTGTCCACCTTCTGAGTTTCCCCCTGCCTCATTGTATTTTCCCCGCAGACCCATGGTATGACACTTCTGGGAAGATCCTACTCAAAGTGGGTTGGGTCAGCACATTGAGGGGGAAGTGTAGCTGTTCAGGTCTCCTGGCACACATCAGTGCCATTTTCATTCCCTGTCCCCTCATGCCCACCACTTTAATTAAAAAAACAACAACACACCAGTAGTTGCTCAATTGCAACAGTGGTTTGTGGTTTTTTTTAACCCTATAGCAATATAGCTACGATTGATTGTTGTAAAAGCCTTCCGGCGGCATTGTGGGAGGGGGGGAATGGCAGGCATGAGGGGATATAGAAGGAAACAAATCCTGCCATGGAGACACCCCGTTGCCACCGTGAACACTTCCGCATTTGCAGCAGCTACGAGTGCACA